ATTTCACAAAAGTGATTCCAGTCAGAAAATGTTTCAATACTGGGGGGAAATTTGGAAAATTCAAATTAATTTTTCAAAAAATGAAGAAAATTTTCCAGAACATAAGGAGATCCTGGGCCAGGTCAGAAGGACAAAACAGTCATACCAGTTTCCCCTAGACTTGAGTTTATAAAGGACTAATGAACTAACATCGATCCAAGTTACCTTAATTGCAGAACGAAATCTCGGGTATTGATAAAGCTCTCGAACAAATTGTCCCAGGGTAATGTTCTAAATAAAGCTCGAAGCTTTTGCGAAAACGCGCTAAACATATTTGCCTTTATTTGAGTGACATAGGGAAATGTAGTGAACTTGATTCCTCTAATTCGAGAGGCATGCAAAAATAATTTGTTTTTTACTCGCTGGAGTACTTCCTCTCAAATTCGAGTAGAGATTTAAAATCTCTTGAGTAAGAAACTAGCTTGAATTGGAGCAGGATTATTCTTGCGAGTAAAAATAAACAATTCCACTTTGCTCTCTATCTTTTCATACCTCTAGAATAAGAGCCAACGAGCAGAGCTCTTTTTTGAGTTTGAGTGAAATTCGCTCGAAATTGAGCAGATTCTACTCTTGCCGAGTAATTTGGTAGGTTTTGACATACGGTTGCATTTTTGTAGGTATGTTCACTTTTTTCAATATTCTCATTCTATTATTCCTCCCTGCTTGGCCTTTATACACGATCTATACAATACACTAAACCCTAGACTTGCATCGCTTATGTGACCTGTAGATGGCGGTGACCCTCGTGAGTGGACTTAAATCTAATTTAAATTGGGGAAAATATTGAAAACAAATCCAAAAAAATTGAAAACTATCAACGTTTTATGAAAGCTTCGCCAATCGAAAAGACGGAAATATAGACAGCGTAACTCGCGGCTCTAGTGTAAGTGCTTCCGGCATAATCCACAATGACAAAACAGCAAAGGTTTGAATCAGCCACTACCTCCTCAAACGAGTCGAGCTTGCTAAATTGAAGCAAACGGAAGAAATTACTTTGACAACCTCCCAAGCTTCAGGAATCGTGACATTGATCCACTTACAAAAGCCACCTTACATGAGAGGGTGGCACAGAGGATTTTAAACAGAGCTAATGTCTTCAATAAGTCTCTCACAGATAATTCCGAGGATTAAAAATTGAAGAAGAGGAACATACCTCAACTTACGCCACCGCCTTTGCTTCGGTCTTCAGAAAGATTGACTCCTTTTGAAGAAAAGGGAATCGAAAATCAAGATCAATATAAAATGGAAAATATGAGGTCATTGTAGACTCAACTTGAAAGAGAAATCCATCAACAAATAACATTGGCATTAAAAAGGTAAAAATTTCAAATAAAAATATGACTCTCCGTTTGATAATTTTGAAATTTTGTGTCGTTTACAAATGGTTGAACCTAATTTTTTTCAGCATTCCTAGTAATGAAGATGTCCGTCCATACCACAGTTATCTGCCATGGCATTAGAAACAACAATCATTTTATCAAGTCTCTTTTCGACAGCATTTGGCAGGCAGCCCAGCAAGTACCAGGGACTATCGTCAAAAGTCAAGGGTTAAAAATTGAGAAATTAAAGCATACCTCCAGTTACCAAAGCCAACGCCTCGCCAAAGTTATTCCGAATTCAGAAAAGACCTCAGGTCTCTCAAATGAAAACCAACTACAGTCGTAGGCCTTGGATATTTAAAGTGGGGAAAATTAAACATGAAACGATATAGAAGTGCCCCGTTGGGCCTTTGAATCAGTCTTCGACATTAGTAGTAAGAAAACGATCCGCGCCGAATCAAAGAGCTGTCGTGGTCCTTTGATACCAAGATTGAAAAGTTATAAATCAGAACCGAATCATAGTGCTGCAGTGGACTTTCGATATAAGCAGTGGAAAAAATTGAAGCTGAATCAAAGTGCCGTCCTGAGCCTTTGTGACTAAAAACAAATGCTAAGCCTATGTCCAATTTAAAGAGTCGTCGTGGGCCTTCGATATTAAAAAGATTTTAAACCTGAAATTATTTGAGATCCAGGGCACTTGAATTTCAAAAGTGAAAAAAACATATAACGAGTACGTACAACGAGCACTGGAGCAGCAAACCAGCTAGTCAAGTGACGGACGTCTGACACTTCTGTTGAATGTCTATTTACTTTTGTCATTACATTATGAGAGTTTTTGCTGATATCTACATCAACACTTCATTAGACCATTGTTCTGCATTCGGTCTCAAAACTGTTCGAAAGTTGGCAAATAATTCAGAAAAGCGTACTGTTTTATTTCTGAGCTTGGTCCGAGATCGGTCCGACAACTATAATTTCGCTTCGGAATTTCTCATGAATATCCTTGCGAATTCGGTCCGACTTCGGTTTGAAAGACTTTTATCCAACACTTCAGTCCGACAACACGTCAACCACTCCATATAACTTTCGATCAGTTTCATCCGAATTTCGGTTAGAAGTCGGTAGTTGTTAATATGTACATCAGAACTTCATTAGACCATTCTTCCGAATTCGATCCGAAAACAATTCGGAAATGCGTAAGATTTTATTTCTGACTTCGGTCCTACAACTCTAATTTCGCTTCTGAATGTATATCCTTGCGAATTCGGTCCGAATTCGCTTCGAAAGTCGGCTTAAACTTTCATCCGACACTTTGGTCCGACAACGTCAGCCACTTCCAGATCGGTCCGAAAATTCTATTATAGCTTCCGAACTTCCCATGTATATCCTTGCGAATTCAATCCGACTTCGGTTCGAAAGTCGGCAAAAAATTCCACACTTCCATCCTATCCTTTGCCCCGACATCAATTACTCCATATAACTTTCGAAGTCGGATAGGACATCGGAAGTTTTCTCCAACTTTCACTTTGAAGTTGGGCCAAACTCGGACAGTTTGATTCGCCGTTAGAAAGCCGTAACAGAAAAATATTTAAATTTGTAGCCCGTGAAATCGGATATAATAAAGCGGTACCCACCGAATTTGTAAACAAACAAACTACCTGTTTCGCTCTCAGTCACTTCAACATAAATTTTCTGTGACGAATCCTACCCCCGAGTGTGTATCCCAGCGAAGGGAGGTCACTTGTCCTTACACTTTTCAATTGATAATAGTATCGGGCCGAAGAGCACATTGCCCTTTGGCAAACTTTGAAACCGCTCTTTATATTGATAAAGGGGGCATTTGAGGTGTATAAGAAAGTAAGGAAGTCCATGGATAAATAAAAATTGGCTCAGATCCTGGGAAAAATGGAAGCCAAGTCAGTTCACCAAGGGTTATCGTTCTCTGAACAATACCTCTTTAAAGGAATAATATTAAAATCAATTATATTGCTTCTATTTGGCCATGAATCGTAAATTTTCAATGATCTATTTAAGTTCTTTTTAGCATTATCCTGATGTCAATAGGCGGTCGGAGGAGCATGTCTAATCTGACGAAGAATTTCTCTAAATAGAGAAATGTTCATTTTTTTTCTTTTTATACCCTCCACCATACTATGGAGGGTATATTAATTTTGTCATTCCGTTTGTAACTCCTCGAAATACTCATGTCAGACCCAACAAAGTATATATATTCTTGATCAGCGTAAAATTCTAAGACGATTTAGCCATGTCCGTCTGTCTGTCTGTGTGTCTGTCTGTCTGTCTGTCCGTCTGTCTGTCTGTCTGTCCGTCCGTCTGTCTGTCTGTTGTAATCACGCTATCTTTCGAACAAATTGAGATAGAAGGCTAAAATTTTGCAAACATGTATATTTTGCCAGTAGGCAGGTTAAGTTCGTAAATGGGCCATGTAGGTCCAAGTTATCATATAGCCCCCATATAACGGTACCTCCCGATATTCGGTATTTTGATGATTTTAGCGACATTATTCACCGGAATTGTTTCAAATTTGGCATTTGAAGTTCTTAAGGGATACTACAGCGTAAGACAGAAAATTATCTGTGCAGGTCTACGTCTTCGTGTAGCCCCCATATAACGGTACCCCCTGATATTCGGTATTTTGATGATTTTAGCGACATTATTTAGCGGAATTGTTCCAAATTTGGTATTTGAAGTTCGTAATAGATACTGCAGCATAAAACAGAAAATGGGCCATGTAGGTCCACGTCTTTATATAGCCCCCATATACCGTACCCCCCAATATTCGGCATTTTGATGATTTTAGCGACACTATTTACCGGGATTGTTTCAAATTTCGCATGTGAAGTTCGTAATGGATATTTCAGCCCATGCTAGAAAATTGTCTGTGCAGGTCCACGTCTACGTATAGCCCCCATATAACGGTACCCCCCATATTCGGAATTTTGATGATTTTAGCTACATTATAAACAGATTTTTCTTCAAGTTTCGCATGTAAATATTGTAATAACTTATGAAAAAAGTTGCCTATGCAGGTCCACGTCGTCGTATAAGCATTAGGTATTTTTAAGGTTTTAACAGAATTCTTAACGGATTTTATTAATTTTTTTTTGGAAATTGCCAAATTTGTACCAAATGGCGGAGGGTATTAAAAGTTCGGCCCGGCCGAACTTACAGCTTTTTTACTTGTTTTTTGATCAAAATACTTGAATCGATTTTAGAATCTTGGCAAGCTAAATTGTATTTAAACCATTTACACATATTTTTTCTCAAATTTTATTCGAACTTATAATAAAATATCGAAAGAACTTAAAACTCTTTGTTTTTTTTTTCAGTAGATATAAGACTTATGTATAATCCTATAGCATTTTGTGTCAATGTGTTTGTGTGTGTTTTTATCTTCATAAATATATAAGTATATATACTTTCTGTTGTCATAATATCATGATATATATTTGTTGTTGTTGTTCTTGTTTATTTTCATACATATATATCCTTGTGGTTTTTCTCCTTAACTCTTCGCTTTGTTATTTATAACTTTTCAATATTTTTTTTATTTATTTTTACATACAATATTAATATTATACAGGATATAAGCATATGTCCTGTGCTGTATTTCGTATTTTCTTTTTTTTTTTTTTGTTTTGCTTCTTTTGTGTCTCTGTGGTGTTAATATTCTTGTTATAGCTATTGTTCTTTCTTTCTCTCTTCTTCCGTTTTGAGTGTTTTTTTTTTTTTCAAAATCTCTTGATTTCTTTTTCTAGCAACCTCTTAAAAATTACTTCCTTTCTCGATTCTGACTATGATCGTAATGTTTTGTTATGTTCGTTCGCTTGTTGTTGTTTCTGTTTTTTGTTTTGCTTAAATTTATGTATATAATATTTTACTTATATATAAGTATATATCTTTGTCTAGCATTTGTTTGTTTTTGGTTTTGGTTTTTTTTGCCTATTAATTTGTGTGTGTATGTGTCTCAGTTTTGAAATTCTGCAAAGATTGTGGGCTTTCGAGAGAGCCTTTTTAGCTGGCCATCCACCTGCATTTACTCATTTAATTTGTGCCATTCGGCAATTTGTCTTCGTGGTGAGTTGCACACTTCATTCCAGTGATTTAAGGCTGTACCATTCGAATTGGGTCCACCCAATTCAAGTCGTCCAATAACCTAGAAGGAGAAGGGAAAACACATTAATTTGAAATACCGCTTTAGCTTGAATTTCGAACATTTCCAACGTTTGTCAGACGGTTTTCAAAATTTATAATTTTTATGGCCATAATCACCTTTTCCAACTTATTTTTAAATTTTTGAATTTCGAAAAACACCCGGATAAATTATAGTATGGAGGGTATATTAAGTTCGTCATTCCGTTTGTAACTCATCGAAAAAATAATTTTTGACCCAATTCTTAATCAGTCTGTCTGTCCATCTATTGTAATTACGCTAGAGTCAAAACGAATATAAGATGGAAGCTAACATTTTGCACAGATCAGTCTTTTGTCTGCAGGCATGTAAAGTTTGAAGATGGGTTATATCTGTCGATATGGTATAGCCCTCATATAACTTCGCTAGATTGATGATTTTAGCTATATTTTTCAATGAAATTGTCTGAAAATTCACAAAAGGAGTTCCTTCTTAGTACTTTACGCACTGGAAGAGTATTATCAATATGTGTCCACGATATCGAATATCCCCCACATAACGGTACCCCCGATATTCGGCATTTTAATGATTTTAGCAACATTTTGTCTAAAATTCCATACAAGAAGTTCTTTCTAAGCACTTTACCCCCTGGAAGATTATTGTCTACATAGGCCCACGATATCGTATGTTCCCCATATAACTGAACCTCCCTATATTCGTTATTTTGATTATTTTAGGGGCATTATTTTCCTGAATTGTTTCAAATTTCGTATTTAGAGTTCGTAATGGGAATTACAGCCTGTGACAGAAAATTGTCTATGCAGGTCCAGGTCTTTGCATAGCCCCGATATTCGTTATTTTGATGAATTCAGGGACATTATTCACCGGAGTTGTTCCAAGTTTCGTATTTAGAGTTCGTAATGGGAACTACAGTCTATGACAGAAAATTATTTATGCAGGTCCAGGTCTTCATACGGGCTCCCTATACTCGGTATTTTGACGATTTAAGGTACAATATTCACCAGAAGTTTTAGAAATTTCGTATTTGAAGTTCCAAGTAGGTACTACAGCCTGTGACATGAAATTTTCCATGCTGGTGCAGGTCTTCGTATAGTCCCCTCCCTATATTCCGTATTTTGATGATTTTAGCTACATTATTTTTTCAAGTTTTGTATTTGAATATTGTAATGGCCTATGACAAAAGTTGTCTATGCATTCGTATAGACCCCAATATAAAGTCGACATCCTATATTCGGTATTTTTAAGATTTTAACAGAATTTTTAACGGATTTTATTTTATTATTTTTTATTTATTTTTATCTATCTATATTTTTTTTTGAAAATTACATACTCTTTTTTTCTTTCTCATTTACCTTTTTTTAATTCACATCTATAGGCCCCTATTTAATGCTCAATAATAATGCTGAACAATTTTCTATCGCTGCTTTTTTTAACCTTTAAATTTCTGTATTCATGGAATAGAACTTTTTTCAAATTTACATTTTTTTGATTTGCAAAAATATCCTCCTTTGATTTGTATAAAACAATTAAAAACACCTATACAGCAGAGCTCACTCATTCAGCAGCCCATGTCCATCATTCATGCATGTTTTAAAAATTTTCCAATCAATTTTGTGTTCACATCTTTGTTAAGCTTTTCACAACGAAAAGGTTTTTATTGATTTATGACGAAGGACGAATTTTCGAAACTCCGCCTTTTCTCATCCAAGAGCGAGCCTCATACAAAATTTCAAAATCCTAGCTTTTAATGATCGTTCGATAAAAATTCTGTACCATTTCGTACTTTTTGGTACATGTAGTAGCCTTAAATTCGACAGTACCCCATTTCACATAAAGTGACCCTCATGAAAAATGTTAAACTTTCTAATCGCTCAACAACCACGTTGTAGCTTTTGAAGTATGAATTTACGAAAAAATCACGACTTATCTCAACTTTCTACACCAAGACTGAAAATCATACAAAATTTCAAAATCTCAGTTTTTGCTGGTGACTTCATAACGATTTGGTACCATTCCGTATGTTTTGATATTTATCATAGCCTTTTGGCTATTATTCTTTTCCAATCGTTCAGTGACGATGTTGTAAATTATGGTAGCTTCCATACCCTTGAAGTAATATGTTACCATTTCGTACCTTTAAGTACTTTTTATTCCACTAAACTGTGAATCTTTTTGTACACTTCGTACCTTTGAAGTAATGCTGTACCGTTTCGTACCTTTAAGTACTTTTTATTCCACTGAACTACGAATCTTTTTGTACACTTCGTATCTTTGAAGTAATGCTGCACCGTTTCGTACCTTTGACCCCCATGTAAATTTTAAACTTTCTAATCACTCAACAACTACCTTTAGTACCTTTGAAGAACGAAAAAAAAATCCGACTTATCTCAACTTTCTACACCAAGAGTGAAGCTCATACAAAATTTACAAATCCTAGCCTTTTCTAGTCATTTTACAACGATGTGGCGCCATTTCGTACATTTTTGTATTTATCATGCCCTTTTGGACGATATTTTTTTCCTATGACTATTTTGTAACTTTTAGTGCCTTTCGTACCCTTTAAGTAATGTAGTACCATTTCTTATGTGCTTTAATTTCTTGTGGTTCCCTTGAACTATGAATCTCCAAAAACCCAGGCGTTTTGTCTCCTCAATTCCAAATGTTGCACAACATCAATGTTTAACCTTTCTGTACTTTTTGTACCGTTAAAGTTCGAAAAAATAAAAAGATCTAACTCTTCCAAAGCCTAATAATAATGTTATCCCTTATCCCTGAAGTACGAATTTCCAAAAATCTCCCCCTATATGGTACGAATTACCAAATCTATTTCTACACACAGTGCTCCTAATTCAAAATTCCACCTCTCTTCCTACACTATATTCGCAACTTAGTATTATTTAGTATTTTTCGTACACTGTATATAATTTCCAAACCCACCTCCTTATCTCGACTTACACATGGTACACTTTATTACACATTTCCAAAACATTCTCCTTATGTCGGGCATTCTTTCCAACTTGGATTCCTTTATACTTTTATAAATTTTTAGTTCTACTCGGAAAGAAAACATCATGGTACGAAATTGGTAACTTTTAGTACATTTGCCACTTTTAAAGTCCGAATTCCTAAATAATTGTTGGTACATTTATGTTACACTCCTCCAGTTACCCCAATACCAATATTTCAAAATTCTAGTTCTGCCGTTCACCCAAAACCATTTTTTACCAAATTTAGTACCTTTTAGTACAATTCTTTCTTTTTAGATCACTTATAGTTCTTACTTTTAGACACTCTTAAGTTGCCCTATCTACACAACATCAAAAGCCGTCATTCCAAATTTCAGATTTCCAACTCTATCCCACCCCCATACAAAATTAATATAATTTAGTACTTTTCCTCCTTTTTAGTACGTATTCCCAAATTCACCGCCATATATCAACCTACCGCTCAAAAAATGATCAATATAAAAATTGTTATATGATTTCCAACTCCATTCCTTCCCCAAATACCAAATTTAGTACACTTATCGTACCCTTTTCCCGAACGACCTCTATATCTCAGCCGTGTACAATTACTCTTTGATGAGTTTTATGCTAAATGTCAACATTCCATATTTACCCCTTTACCCAATACCATATTGTACCAATTTAGTACAATTTGGTACTATTGGCACACCTAGTTATGCATTTCCAAAACCACCTCTTTGTAATAAGCATACTTCCCAACTTTGATTCCCATACACAATTTTAAAATTTTCGATCTGGATCGCCCAAAACCAAATTGTACCATATTTAGTACAGTTAGTACCGTTCTTACACTTAGTACTCATTTCGAAAACAGCCTCCTTTTATCAACCCTACTTCCCAAAACTTGATTCCCGTACCAAATTTAAAGATTTTACCTCCATCCGTACATAATTTAGTGCATTTTAGTACTTTTGGTACACTTATTGTTTCAATCAACCTCGTCGTCTCATTCGTCTATCTTACACACCATCAAATACCCCCATTTCAAATTCCAAATTTCCAACTCTTTCCCCTCCCCAAATACGAAATTTATTATAATTTAGTACTTCTCGTACTTTTTAGTACGTACTTGGAAATTCACCTTCATGTATCAACCCAAAAAATTCTTTTAATTTCTAACTCTATTCCTTCCCCAAAATACCAAATTTAGCACCATTTAGTACCTTTCGTACTTTTCGCGTACGTATTTCCAAAACCACCCCCAAATCTCAAACCTAGACACTGACAATGCCCCAAACCCCAAATTTCGGAGTTCAAGCCATATCCGTTGACTCAATGTCAAATTGGGTTCAATTTAGTACCATTTTCGCGTCCATTTACCCATATCTTCTACAAAAACAATATCGGATGAGATGCCAAATGGTGAGAATTTCCGAAATCCTTGGTGAATGAATACCTATCATCGGCATTCTCCAGTTAAACCCTAAAACTCCCATATTTACCTCATTTTTGGTAACACGATCCCAGTCTAACAGCATCAATTCAAGTGACACTCCTTCCAAAGTCGCTCCAGTTCCCTGAAATAGAAAAATACACCATAAAATCTCCTCCTCTGCCCACATCACAAGGTCAATAAATCACCCACCTCAGCTGCGGGAATATCGAAAGCAAAACTCTCATTGAAAACAGGACTCAGTGTGCGTTTCTTGACATGTGTCTTCTTCTTGGCGATGCGCTGGCCATTGTACAACAAATAGATTTTGACATAGGGATCAGCCAAACCGGTCACATCCATGCGTGGTAGATTGCGGGCCTTCAACAGCACCACTGTCAAACGTCCGGCAGCTGGTTGCCAACACAACGAAATCAAAAGTTCGCCACGACCCTGGGCCCGTATCTTCAAACTACGTGGTTGAATTTCCTTGCTGATCGACAAAGCCTCCTTGGAAATATCACCGATTTCAATGCTCGACAATGGACAGACCACCTCGCCAATGACATCATCACGCGAATAACGATCAAAGCTCAGGATGACAAAATGCAATGACATATTCTGCAAATCATTGATGTTCAAGCCATAGAAAGTGAAATCCTCATCGTAGACCGGGTTACGGGTGTTGCGCACAACACGGGTCTTAACCTTGTGCTGTTTGTCGGGCAACAGCTGCAATTTGACATAGGGATCAGTGGCAGCCTGGGTGCGTCCATTCATACCGGCTGGGATATCACTGCCATTGTTGCCAGTCGAGGGATTGTTCGAATTGCCGCCACTACTCTTCGAGGGTAAACCACGGCAACGGATGATCGACACCATTAGGGCATTCCGTTCGGCCAAATAACGTAGCTTGAAAAATATAGAACCCAATTTGCCGTACTGTTCCAAATGCAGATCAGTGCTGGCATTGCTAATCATCGACTCTTGCATGGCACCGCTCATCTGACTGGATCGTCCAGCAACGACACCATTGTTGGCACCACCACTACCACTGGGACTCTTGGCCTCCACAGGGGAATGTTTCTCACTCCCTCCGTTATACTTGACCTGTTTGGGTTTTATCTCATCTTCTTCCATATACTTGACAGTCTGTGGCGAGATTGGCGATGAGGCATTCTGATCGGGCATTGGTTGTAGGATACCTAATTGCTTGGTACCCGTTGGCGATGGTGACTTCTTCAGATAGTGTGGTGGCTGGCCACTAGGCGAACGAACAGCTGTCGGACGTCGTGTCGGTTGAAAGGGAAATGTGGCATCGTGTTGATTCTGTTTGCGATTACGGGCTCTCATTTGGCGGGCACATATGCAGGCCACCGCCCAAAGGGCACCGGCCGACACAAGGCCCAATATAGCGGGAAGTACTGCAAATAGATAAGATAAAAAGTAACATTTAATGAATGAAATGAATATAAGTTATTAAATGAAAAACAAGTAAAAGAAAACTGGAAACATAAAAAAATGCAAAAACGTCCGACAGATATAAAAGAAATGGGGATATCTCCAACAAAAAATAAAATAATTTGAACCTCGTGTAAAACTCTTCTCACATGGCTCCTATTGGCAGGATTTTTTCTAAGAGAATTAAATTATCCTTCAAAGATAACCATTCGAATAACTGTTACTGAGAGATGAAATAGCAGGAGGTTTTCCATGGAGGTAACACTTTGTATATTCTACACCGCATAGTGATAAGGGTATTATGTCTTTGGCTGGAAAACCACAAGTGGCTATGATTAGAGCACTCCAGCATTTAAATGTGAATAAATCGTTTGTGCCACGTACCATCGCTCGTTACCGTGATATTGGTAGCGTAGCCCGACGTCAAGGAAGTGGAAGAAAACAGCAACATCAGCAGAAATGCTGCCAAAATTAAAGAAGCGATCGAAACCCGCGTAGCAGTGGTCGAAAAATGGCTCGTGAGATGAACATATTGCAATATTCCATTCGGAAAATATTGAAAAATGAGCTCGGGGTGAAGCCATTGAAATTCCAAAAAGTGCAATATCTTACACCGCAACAGAAAGAACAGAAATAGACTCAAAATAGCTAAAGAGATGCTTCGCTTGGCCGAAAGTGGTGGACTGCCGAATTTGGTTTTCTCCGATGAGAAAACATTCGTTGTCCAGCAATCAGTGCCAAAGAGGTCAGGTGAAAATGTGCACCTTCGGTTGGCTACAAGAACTCATGCGCCGGCCATGGTGAAGTGTGGGCCGCCATAACAGCCGATGGTCGCTCTCCGCTCGTATTAATCGACCGTGGCATCAAAATAATTGTCCGACCATTATCGCGAAAATATTCTGGAGGGTATATTAAAGCCTTGGGCACGCAAACATTTTGGCTCCAGACCTTGGACATTCCAACAGGACTCAGCACCATCGCACTCAGCAAGCGCCACACAAGAATGGTTACAAAATGAGGTTCCTAGCTTCATTTCCAGCGCACAATAGCTACCAAAATCTCCGGATAACAATCCGTTGGACTATTGTGTCTGGAGTATTTTGGAAAGCAAGGTTGGCACTAAAAAATACCAAAGTAAGCGCTTCGCCGGGAATGGGCCAAAATACTGCAGAGCAACATTCGGACAGCGAGTGACGGTTTCATTGGCCGTTTGAAGGCCATAATTCGTGCCAAAGGTGACCAATTCGAACAAATCTAAACTTATTCTAAAATTAGATGCTATTTCCGACAGTTTTTGCTTTAAAAAATTAAAAAAAAATAAAAATTGCGTTTGACTTTGTTGCAGTTTTTTATCTCACCCTGTACGGGGCCCATACTAAGGCGAGCACCTGCATACGCAATTTTTAGTCGTTATATGGGACTATACTGGCAAAATACACATGTGTGCAAAATATTAGCCTTCTATCTCAATTCGTTCGAAAGATAGTGTGATTAGAATAGAGAAACATATGGACAGGCAGACACACAAACAGAGGGACATCACTAAATCGACTTAACATTTTACGCTGATCCAGGATATATATACTTTGTAGAATCTATAATAAGTATTTCGAGGAATAAAAATCGGAATGACAAAACTAATATACCCTCCATAGAATGGTGTAGGGTATACAAAAAAATTCATATATCATTATAGGGACGACTACGGTACTATATCGTCATAGGAGGCGCAAAAACAAAACGGGAATCTATATTCACAGTGTTCTACCACAAGAATTGTTATCTATTACGAATCTTTAACAACAAATTTAAACAATTCTAGGCGAACATAATATTTATAGCCCTTTACAAACTACATTCACGAAAATTTAGACAAATCCGTTTAAAAGCTGCGGCTCAAATCGCAAAAAAAACTAATATCTCAAGGTATGTTTATATGAGGCTATAGTAGAATGTAGACCTATATAGAAAATATTCTACCATTGGAGGTACAGGACGTTAATACTCTTAATGACAAGTTTGGAATAATTTCGTGGAAAACTATCGAATATTGGGAGGTACGTTTGACCCAATTTGTGTTAATTTTTAAGCTTTACGTCAAATGAGAGTCATACAGACAATCAACTCACCACAGTTGATTACAAATTCCTTAAATTTGAGATAACTTATATGAAGTTAAAAAATAATATCAAGAAAGTCCTAAGATTTTAATTTTGTATTTTAATATGGAATGTCATTTTTCACAAAATGTTGCAGGGAGAGATACTCAAAATATCTAAAATTTGGAAGTGCAGTTATATATAATCAATACATAATAGTTGATTTATCTTCTGTCAGTTTAGAACTTAAAATGACAAGTTACTCATTATTGGTTTTGAAATTATTGCGGAAACCTTCCAAAAACCAACATTTAGGTGAAAAGTAATGTGGGGCCTATACCAAATACCAGAGCAATCTTGAAAAGTTTTAGCATGGAGAGATTAAATCTACTCAGAACTCTAAACGTTAATTTTCAGATGATAGGTTTAAAATTGTGGTCAAAACATTCAAAATAACGAAAATGAGGAAGTAACGCTATACGGGTCCTTACCTAAACGTGGACCGATATGTCCCATTTTTAATATCAAAAATACTAAGAGCTACAAATATCTGAGCAAAATTTCAAAGCGATAGGTTTCCCAGAGTTAATCTCCATTTTTGGGGATCTCACTCCAATTCTGTGTCAATTCAACTATGTCCGTCTGTTGAAATCACGATACAGCCCACATTATTTGACGCAGAGCTTCAAAATTTAACAGAACAATTTTTATTGTGTCTAGGATGGTCGGTATTGAAAAGGAGATATATCGGTCAACGTTTTGGAATAGCTGCCATATAAAGGTACCCCCAGAAATTCGGTATTTTGATGATTTTCGCCACATTTTTTCCACGGGCTTGTCTAAAAATTGGTATATGTAGGTCATAATGGGTTCTAGTTTTACAGGCAGAACATTGCATGTACAGGTCCACGTTTTCGTATAGCCTCCGTATAACGGTACCTCCCGATATTCGATATTTTGATGATTTTCCCGCATTTTTCCACGGAGATGTCTAGAAGTTGATATTTGTAGCTTATAATAGGTTCTAGCTCGTGTGACGAAAAATTGTATGTATAGGTCCACGGTATAGTCCCCATATAACGGTACTTCTCTTTATTCGGTATTTCGATTTTTGTCACATTTTTCACGGATATGTCTAAAAATTCGTATTTGTAGGGTATAATAGGTTCTTGCTCGTGTGGCAAAACATTGAAGGTATAGGTACACGTTTTGTTATAGACCCCATACAACGGTACCTTTCGATATTCAGTATTTTGATGAATTTTGTCACATTTTTTACAGATTTGTCTAAAAATAGGCCTTTGTAGGTCATAATGGGTTCTAGCTTCGGTGGCGAAACTTTGTATGTATAGGTCCATGTTTTGGTATAACCCCTACCTCCCGATATTCGAAACTTTGATGATTTTTGCCACATTTTTCCACGGATTTTTCTAAAAATTGGTATTTCTTGTTTATAATGGGTTCTAGCCTGGTGGCATAATATAAAATATATAGAGCTCCACGTTATTATAGCGCACATATGACTATACCCACCGATATTCGGTATTTTGATAATCCTGTTCACATTTACCCACATAATTGTTTCAAATTTGGTATTTTAGAAGATTTGATAGATGGCAATCCTCGAAGTATAAAATTGCCTATATAGGTTCCCGTTTTGGTACTTTATGGGTTTTTAATAAATATAACTGCATTATGCAAACTGTCTTACTGGTATAGGAAGTTTAAAGTGAATCACGCTTGAATTCAGATACTTTATATAAAAATGTTTCCTTTACCCTAAGCTGGAGGGCATTGAAAGGACGGCCGGCCAGGATCTTGACTATATCTTCCAATAGATTTGGATCTACTTATATTACTTTGAGATTCTAACTTTCAAATGTATATTCGTGTATTATTTTTTAGCTGTCATTTCAAAATCACTGTCACAAAGTATTATTTTTTATTTCTAGCCTCAAAATAGATATAAGAAAATTTTTTTAACAATAAACTTTTCTTTAGAGCTCTCTTAAAAACATTATTCGTAACAGTTATATAAAAATAATTAACTGCATCTGAAATATCCATGTCAACTCTCGTAACACCAAACTTCAGCCATATGACCACCTGAACCCCCGGTTTGTTGTAAGAAACTGAGAAATTCATCAAAGAATGGAAAGGGGGCATTATCTTGTTTGGCTAAAAATGTTTCTAAAAATAACTGAAGGTATGCATAAAAATAAAATTAGCAGTATACACAGGTATTTTGTTGTTGTTGTCGATGATTCATTATATACCCATATAGCTTTTTGATTTGACACGAAAAATATTATTATTATTGCATTATTTAAAGAAACATAAATTATGAACATACATTTATGTAAACAGCAAAAAAATTGTGTTAATATGTTCGGAATTGGTGTCAAAAGGTACGGCGACAGAGAACAAGAAGCACACAACATCACAAAAAATCAAAACAACCACCCCCAGCAGCCATGGAAAACAGAGCTGGTAAGAATCGCATCCCCCACCGCCACCCATCGAAACGAAAACAGCTAAAATAAAACCTCATCCCCCTTCATTATCTGAATACGGCTAAAAAGGAAAATTTTGCAAACAACAACAGTAACCATATGATGGAAGAAAAAATACATGTATACATTGCAAGATTTTTCATTTTCGTTTTTGATTAACTTTTGAGTTAGAAAAACATAAAACAATAAAAATTATTTTAAAAAATTATAAAAAAATAAAAACTAATTTTAAAAATTTGTTATTTTACCAAATTCTTCAGAGGTACTTACTTGTTGTCATAGCGCTTATATCGGGATTATTTGAGTATTCGTCACCCATTTTTTTAGATTGTATTCCTTATGTTGTTGTTTTTTTTTTATTAAACCTTTTGTTATCTTTTTGTAGCGTTTATTTAGTTTATTTTTAAAACTGCAATAAATATTGTTTATTATATTTTTTTCGTTAGCAAAAAAAAAATCGAAGTTTCTCCTTCTATTCGCCAAACAAACTTATCGTCGTCGTCGTAGCCGTAACCGTTGCGTGAAAAGCTTTTATCTAATGGAAACAGGAGAAGAAGAAGAAGACAATGAAAATAACAGCATCAAAATTGGCCACAAAAGCAGCAACTTCGCCGCACTTTATCATCATTCTTTACTTCACTTCATTTTCACAGACATTGTATTTACGAATGCCTAAAAGTATGCTAAGGTTTATCTCCTTTCCACTTGTGGCAGTGAGAGAGCTTTCAAACAATGTATGCTCTTGTTGTCTCTTTCACATTTTCACTCTTAACACACATATACACTTGACTCACTTCCCCTGGCAAAATACCGTTATTGGGAATTTGTAGTTGTTGTTGTGTTTGTTGGTGGCGAAGGAGGGTTCGAAACGACACAAAAACACTTTTACACCACACCACACGACCGACACACATTCACAAATGACTTTGAAAGGATTTCAACATTTCGTTGTATTTCGTTTAATCACGTTTCGTTTCGTGTATTGTCTTGCATTGTTTCGTTGTTTGTTTTTGTTTTTTTCCTCCCCCCATTTGAAATTTATCATTTGTTTTTGTTTGTTTGTTACAAGGTAGAGCTGGTAGCTAGCTGGGCATAACTTTGATTACCCAGTTGTGTGTTACAGTGTAATGGACAATGAGTGTGACAATGTGAAAAAAACTTTTTGGCAAACTACGTCATTGGCGGGGTTATGTTGGTTTCCTGCTGGGGTTATTTTCCGTGGTACGTACACAACGTAAGTGTTACGTAGTGAAATACCTATTGGCTGAATTTCGAACCACCATACTTAATATAGTGCGGGGTATAAAAAAAATTACAAACCGAATTTCAAAACCAGTTCTCTGGACTATGATGCAGAGCATTGGATTTGAAATTCAATTTGTAAATTTGTATACCCTTAACCACACATAGTATGGAGGGTATATTAAGTTCGTCACTCCGTTTGTAACTCATCAAAATAATTTTAGACCCAACAAAGTATATACATTCTTGATCATTCTTTCACAGAAATGTCTTTTGTCTGTAGGCAGGTCAAGACTTGATTTTGATGATTTTAGCCACATTTTTCAATGATATTTCTAATATTCTACACAAGGAGTTCTTCGTGACTACTTCACCCACTGAAAGAGAATTGTTTATATTGGTCCACGACATCGTATAGTCTCCACACAACAGTACCCACGACATTCGGTATTTTGATGATTTTAACAACATTTTTCAATGGAATTATCTTTAATGGAATATTATAAAAACCCACACAAGCCGTTCCTTCTGAGTACTATACCCCCTGGAAGAGTAACGTCTATAAGTCCACGATATCGTATATCCCCCATATAACAGTACCTCCCGATATTCGGCTTTTTTATGATTTTAGTGATATTTTTAATAGAATTGTCTTGAAATCCACACAACGGGTTCCTTCTGAGTACTTTACCCCCTACAGGGCAATTGTCTATATAGGTCCACGGCATCGTATAGTCCCCATACAACAATACCCACGACATTCGGTATTTTGATGATTGTAGCCAAATTTTTCAATGAAATTGTCTGAAAATCCACAAAAGGAGGTTCTTCTGAGTACTTGAGTACTACCCACTGGAAGAGTATTGTTTATATAGGTACACGATATCGTATATCCCCCATATTACGGTTCCTCCCGATTTTCGGTATTTTGATGATTGTAGCCAAATTTCTCAATTAAATAATCGGAAAACCTACAAAAGGAGTCCCTCTGAGTACTTTACCCTCAGGAAGAGAACTGTCTATATAGGTCCACGTTTTAGTATAGCAGCCATATAACTGAACCCCCTGATATTTGGTATTTCCGTGATTTTAGCGACATTATTCACCGGAATTGTTTCAAATTTGGTATTTGAAGTTCGTAATGGATACTACAGCCTATGATAAAAAATTGTCTGTGCAGGTCCACATCTTCGTATAGCCGCCATGTAACGCTACCTGCCTATATTCGGCGTTTTGATGATTTAAGCGGTATTATTCAACGAAATTGTTTCAAACTACGTATTTGAAGTCCGGAATCGGTACTACAGCCTATGACAAAAACTTAGCTATAAAGAAGACCACGTCTTTGTATAGCCCCCATATAAAAGGTTTCATCTTAGATGTATTTTTCTACGGATTTTTTTTTTTTTTTTTTGGAATTTTTCAAGTTCCTTCAAAATAGTGGAGGGCATTAAAAGTCCCTCTCGGTCGAACTTTGCTGCTTTTTATACCCTCAGCCATATGGCTGATACGACCAAAACGTACCTCATCGAAATAACGGTTTCAGACCCTAGATCTCTTTGTACCAAATCCGTTTCAGGACATTTGGAGTCGATTTAGCGGTGTACTTGCATTCGTCCGTCTGGCTGGTACACACGATAACTCTCGAAGGGATTTTAATATTTGTTCCAAATGCGGCACATTATAATATTATTATCAAATTAGAGTTCAGAGATGGGCAATATCGGTTCACCTCATCAAGAACCACCGACCCCCCCCCACCCTCCACAAAAGGTCAAAATTTTCAAAAAAATATTTTTCTGCGCAGAACGAAAAAGGTTGATCCGATTTTGCTTCAACTTTGCAAATCCTAATATTTGCATCAGTGCTAGATCAGGTGCGAAAATGAACATCGGTTCACTCCATCAAGTACCTCCTACGCAACGGCTCAAAATTTTCAATAATTATAACTTTTATAAAATGTGATGTAAGAGTCCGATTGTCTTCAAATTACACATCACATCACAATATATTTTAATAAGCCAAAATTTGTTGTGAAGATGAAATATATCGGTCGACTCCTTCCGGTCCACTCATTCCTTCCCCCACAAAACGGTCGAAAGTTTCAAAAAAAATTTTCTGCACAGAAAGAGAAGCAATAATCTTACTTAGCTCCAACTTTGCAAATTCTTGTATTTTTGGCAGTGTTAATTCAGGTACGAAAATGGGCATTATCGGTCCACTCCATCAAGTACCTCCCCCACAAAGGGTCAAAATTTTGAATAATTACAACTCTCATTGAATGTGATGTAAGAGTCCGATTGTCTTCAGATTTCACACATTCCAATATTTTTATTAACCCAAGTTCTGGTGTTAAGATGAAATATATCGGTCCACTCCTTCTGGTACCTCCCCCACAAAAGCTCGAAAGTTTAAATATCCATTAAGTTCAATTAGACTTGGCACATCTGAATATTTCCCCCACCAAGGCTCAAAGTTTTGAATAACCAAAACGTTTATAAAATCCGAAATAAGCATCAGGTTCTCTTTATATTTAACACATACCATTATTTCTACTAACACAAGATTTGTTGTTGAGATGGGATATATCGGTCCACTCCTTCTGGTACCTCCCTCACAAAGGCTTAAATACCCATTAAGCTCATAAAACGGGGAATTAATATCCGATTTCATTCGGACTTAGCACATCTCAATATTTCCATCAACACAAGATCTGTTATAAAGATGATAGAGACCGCACCATTTCTTCTGGTACCTGCCTCACAATGGATCAATATTTTGAATAACCAAAACGATCATAAAATCCGAAAAAAACATCCGATTCTTTTCATATCTCACTCATCCAATTACTTCCACTAACACAAGATCTGCTGTGAAGATGGGATATATCGGTCAACTCTTTCTGGTACCTACCCAAAAAGGGTTAACATTTTAAATATCCACGAGGCTCATAAAACGCGAAATAAACATCGGATTCCATTCAGACTGGGCACATCTCAACATTTCCGTTAACACAAGATCTGACCATTTCTTCTAGTACCTCCCCCACATAGGGTTTGAAAAACAAAATGCTTAAAGATGGCGAAATACGCATCCTGCTCTCTTCAAAATTTACACACACAAATATTTTTGCTAACACAAGATCTGTTATGATGATGATATATACCTGCGAACCCCTTGTGGTATCTCACCCACAATGGGTCACAATTTTTAATACCTTTATTTGTTATAACTTGCGAAACATATCAGCGATTTCTTACAACTTGCTATATCCAAATATTTCTCTCAACTAGAAATCTGATATTAATATGGAATTTATCGGAATTTTTAATTTCGCATAAAATTGGATATGAATGTTCGATTTTCTTGTAATTTTGCCCATTTTAATATTTTATCTGTATTAGATGTAGTGCGAAAATGGAATACTTTGGTCGATTATATCTGGTATCCCACGCACATTTTACAACTATTTAAAATTATCCATATCTCATAAAAAGGGAAGAAAGTGGTCAATATAGTCCAAACCTGGCACGTCGCAATATTTGTATCATATTTATTTAGGTCCGATATGAAATGTATAATATGGGTATATTTTAATAATGATAGGTAAAATATATTTGAATAACCGAACATTGACTGAGGGTATAGATCTGTCGCAAAACCGTTTTATACTTTTTAACTTGTTTTATTTTTCGGACGATCCTATATTATGCTATTAACTGGATTCCCAAAATGTTTGTCTAATTACCCAATAATATATCGAAAAGGTTAATTTTGGGCGGTATCCTTCGGCATTTATGACATTCATAATTAATTCAAACAAACTCATTTATTAACTCAATATGGATAACGATGAGAATGCAACATTAATATATGAAATTAAATTAATTTTTACAAATAGGAGGAAATAAATTTAAACGCCGTTAGCAGCCATTTGAGGCTGCACCAATAAACTAGTGAGATTGGTGAACGATTTCCAATATCCGACTTAATTAATTCTTTTGATAAAAAAAAAATAGCTCAAACAATAAACAATTGATTGTTCTTTTAATCGATGGAGATACGATTGGAATGTGCGATAAAGCCAATGAAATATCGATTAATTAGCTCTTCTTTGGGGTTGTCAATTGCCTGTGAGCTATCAGGAGAATATTTCAATGAAATAGTTTAGAAATTGCTGAATGATATTATTAACCCATTTGTGCATTTGTTTTATTGTTTATTAAGTTAAGAATATCAGTTTGTACGGGGAAACATTAACACATTGCAACGTGTATGTGCTTCGTAATATCC